ACAAAAAGGCAGCTTATAGGAAACAAATTATATGGGAGAAGGAAACAAACAGATTTTTAAAACTATTATTACTATATTCAGAGAGAGAAGGAAGGATATCTCACACATGAAACAAAAATTTGTATACACATAAAGAACAATCACAAAACTGAGTTCACATTGGAATTGGGTCTGGGAACCCAAAAAGAGTTATGCTACTATTACTGCTGTATAATACACTATTATTGCTGTATGAAGCAAAAAACACCACCCCTAAACCCTGGAAACTGTAGCAAAGGGACTTCACAGATGTGATTAAGGTTGGGGATCTTGAGACAGGAGATTATCCTCAGTTATCAGGTGGGTCCGTTAAAAGCTGAGAACTTTTCTGCCAGGAGGCTGAGAGATTCCACAATAGAAGAGATTAGAAACATGAAAGGGACTCCAGCAACTCACTGTTGCTGGTCTTAAAGATGAAGGAAGGGGGCCTGAGCCAGACAACATGGATCGCCTGTAGAAGCTCAAATTACCCTGAGCTGACAGTCAGGAAAGTGCTGGCTTCAATCCTACAGTCCTATGAAACTGAATTCTGCCAATAGCCTGAATAAGCAAAGAAAGATTTTTCCCAAGAGCCTCCGAAAAAAAGCACTCCAGACACCTTGACTTTAGTCCAATGAGACTCCCCTAGACTTTTGATCCTCAGAACTGTACAGTGATACATTTGTGTTTTTTTTAAGTCACTCCATGGAAAATAAAGTCAAATAAATTTCCTAGAAAATAGAACAGCAACAACAACAAAAAAACAGAACTCTAAAATACAGGAAAAAATATAAGAAAATTACAAGATTTATATCACCCAGAGCTTAGCACATATTTATGAAATTCAGAATACTAAAGGCAAGGATCCTACAAGTTCCAACAATAGGACAAAAACTGGTCACTTTGAAGGTAAAAGGCATAAGGATGATTTCTGACTTTTGAACAAGAACAATGGGGTCTTATCCTCAATATAATGAAGAAAACTGATTTCCACTTTATTTTCTCCATGTATTAGGGGGATAGAATGGAGTGGATGGGAAAGAAAGTTAAAGAGGGGTTGGATGTGAGGGTTGGACAGAGGGATCAGTCTTCATTCCTAGTGGAGAGTTGATGGCTAATGCCTAAAACTGAAGTACCATATGCCAAACATATGCATGTTATTTAAAGATAGGAAAGTTAAAAAGGGAAGAACTAAATGATTTTAAAATGCTTGCCTTCCAGGAAGCAAATACAAAAGGTGAGGGGGGTGGACTTTGGGAATTTTTTGCAATAAGCCTTGTTTCCTCTATAAAACATGTGCATGTATAACTTAAAACCTAAACACTGGAAAGTGAAAGAAAAATCAGTTACTAAAATGATAACTTTGAGTAAATAAAGTAGTGTTGAACACATTAAGGTAGCCCAAACAATTTTTAGACAGATTTTTTGCACTTGCCTTGAATTATATTGGTCTTGAAGTAGCCAATGAAATGTCTCTATCTGTTCCATATAGAGAGCCCTCAAGCCCTTCATATTTCCAGCAGGATATGGGCCCTTTTGATTCTATTTCCAATTTCCCTCTCAGCTCTAAAGATCTATGATATCTAAAATGTACAAAACATATTTTGGGATAAAAAAGTAAGGCAGATTATGATCACATTTGCAGAAAAGTGTATTTGAGTATTTGCTTGTATGCACAGAAGGATATTTGGGAAGATATTGACCAAATGTTAATAATTACTTCTTGATTATTAATACGAATTATTTGCATTATCCTCTTTTGTTTGTTGGTGCTATTTTTCTTAACACTGAGCTTGTGAAAAAAAACAATGAAGCTATTTTTGTTAAGAAAAAGTCTAAGGAATCAATAACTAAAATATTTATATTAACTTGCTGTATCCCACAGGAGTCTTTGAACCTCCAGTCTTAGAAATACTAACCTATAATCACCTAACTCCCCAACATTTTTTCATTCACTTTATTTTTACTTTCAGCAATCACTATTTTGCACAAAGGCAAGCTCTTCAGAATCATCTGGGATTTCTGCAGCTCTCCTTTCTCCAAACTCAACTTTTTTGGAATGAAGAGGAACAGAAACTAAAATATACCTTCAAGAGTTATGCATATTATTTAATAAGCATGAAGTTTCAGTTTGGGAAGATGAGAAAGTTCTGGAGATGAATGGTGGTGATGGTTGAATAACAATGTGAATGTAATCAATGCCACTAAACTACAAACTTAAAATGGTGACTTTTATGTTATATATATTTTACCACAATAAAAAAAGGAATTATCAACACCTACCTTTATGCATTTCTAATTAAACATTATAAATAATAGTTGACTATTTGCAAGAAACAGAAAACTTGAACAATTTTGAAGATGCTAAATGCTACAAAATCTCTTAACAATCCATGTTTTCTAAAGGCAGACCTTGATGTGATGTAACTTCAAAGTCTCTATCACGAAATGTTTCTTGTTGTTCTTCCATTAGGGAAATTAACTTAAGACACATTTGATTCTGAAGAGGGGAAATGAGAAAAGTAGAGTAATATGGTCCCTCTATGCAAAATGTTTTGGTCATTGTTCCTGTCAGATTCCCTGGGAAATGGATTGTGAGATGGAGATGTGGGCACAGGAAGCTTGTTGGTAAACATTCTAGGAATCAAACCTGTTGGGCAGAGAGACAAGGAGATTAAGCTGAGAAGGCTGAACTTTGATGCAGTCACAACAAAGGTCTCATCCTCTCTCTCCAGGAGCTCTGGAGCTGGGATGTCCCTTCAGAGTTGACCCAAATATTGAAGCAAGAGGCTCTGCTTGAATGCCCTTATGCTGACCTGCCTTAGGGATCTTTCTACTTCACCATGGGCAAGGTAGCTTTCTCCTGCTGAGGGCAATTCTAGAGGAATTTAGCTGACAGCCATCAGCTGCTAACACTCCCAGTCCTGAAGAGGAGATCTGGGTGGTATCATTCGGCATTCTCTCAACCATATTCTATAAATTTCTTGGCTTTTTCTAACTATATTATAAAGTATTAACATCAATCACAATGGACCTAAGAAGTGTCTAGCAAGGAAATAAACATTAAACCCACCTTCAAATAAAATTGGAGATGAAGAAAAATGTTCCATTGCCCACATGATAGGCTCTTGACCTAGAACTTCCTCAATGGGCCAAAAATGTACTCCTAATGACATCATACTGTAATAATATACTATGAGGTTACCAGTCAAATCTTTTCAAAGAAGCTCCAAAGAAATCTTTACTCATGGTGTATTTTAAGCTCAGTTCCCCTTCTCAAGCCCTTTTTCTCAAAAAGAGAGAGAGAGAGGAAATGAGGGAAGGAGGGAGGGACGGGGAAGGAAGAAAAGGAGGGCGGAAGGAAGGCAGAAGGGAAGGGAAGGGAAGGGAAGAAATTTAAATCATTTCATGGACTCTGTCCTAAAACCCAAGATACACAACGGGTTAAGGTCCTTCCTCCACAAATGTACCAAAATTAAAATCATGGGTCATTAAAGAGAATCTTTCTTGCCCTCACTTATCTTCTTTCTTGCTTTCTCCTCAAGGAAAATGCCTAACAAACAGGAGGCTACTAAAGTAAACCATTAGATGAAGATGTGAAATTACCTACAGAAAGCTACCAATTCTGACACAGGAAAGAAAAACATTTTTTCTTCACTCTCCACTAATAAACTGTCTGAATATTCCCTATTAGCCAAGGGATTTATGGCAGCCCACTTTGCTGGCCTATGGATGAACTGTCCGAATGATATTTTCTATGGTTCTCACCATGTTCTTTAAAGTTTCTAATTCTGCTTTTAAAAATAAATGAAATTATTTTCTCCAATTCATACTCCATTATATTCAATACTGGAATTTTAATGAAGCCAAGATCAAAGTGAGGGTACATACTAATACTCTGACTTTCCCTACAAACTTGGGGCACAGAATGACATCTTGAAAATTAAGACATTGAGACACAAAGATGTTAAGAAACTTACTCAAAGCCACGTACCTCTTAAATGTCAGAGCTATAGCTCACCAGACAACTGCCTTCAGTTTAGGGATCTTTCTACTTCACCATGGCAGAAAAACAGCTCTGAGGATGAATTAATGCATTGATACACCTTCATTCAGGGGAAAAAAAATCCACAAGTGAGCACTTCCTATTTAACCCATCACCTGTGCTAGCCCAATGGACAGATGTAGGATCAAAAAATTATAGAATAATCATGTGACTCAGGCCTGGAAACTACTTCACATGAACATGTGGTTTGGTTCTTTGCCTTCATGGAAATAACTTTATAATTATGTCCATTGTATTGGGATAGAAATTAAGTCCCAAAGAGGACCAGTAAGTGCCCAGGACTTAGAGGTATTAATGAAGGAACAACTATAATTCAGGTTTCTTCCACTCCCTCAGGTGAACTAAATCTGCATGTTGAGTCTCCACAACCACTTTGTGGTGCAGGCAACAATCAGACTGTTTTAACATGACTGTGGTAATGTTTTGGGCCCCCCAGGAAAGGACAGTCTCCCAATAGATGGAATGGACATCTTCTACACAAGACAGTTTTAGGAGCATCTGATTCTACTGAGAGAGACTGAATATACAAGTGAACAATGGCCAGACAAGATAGGACAACAGAACTCTTCCCACATCCTGCAGCAATCTGTCCATAGAGCCAAACCACAGCCTCTGCAGTGATCAGCCCAGAAGAGTCAGAACTGGTTGCATATTATTTAATAAGCATGAAGTTTCAGTTTGGGAAGATGAGAAAGTTCTGGAGATGAATGGTGGTGATGGTTGAATAACAATGTGAATGTAATCAATGCCACTAAACTACAAACTTAAAATGGTGACTTTTATGTTATATATATTTTACCACAATAAAAAAAGGAATTATCAACACCTACCTTTATGCATTTCTAATTAAACATTATAAATAATAGTTGACTATTTGCAAGAAACAGAAAACTTGAACAATTTTGAAGATGCTAAATGCTACAAAATCTCTTAACAATCCATGTTTTCTAAAGGCAGACCTTGATGTGATGTAACTTCAAAGTCTCTATCACGAAATGTTTCTTGTTGTTCTTCCATTAGGGAAATTAACTTAAGACACATTTGATTCTGAAGAGGGGAAATGAGAAAAGTAGAGTAATATGGTCCCTCTATGCAAAATGTTTTGGTCATTGTTCCTGTCAGATTCCCTGGGAAATGGATTGTGAGATGGAGATGTGGGCACAGGAAGCTTGTTGGTAAACATTCTAGGAATCAAACCTGTTGGGCAGAGAGACAAGGAGATTAAGCTGAGAAGGCTGAACTTTGATGCAGTCACAACAAAGGTCTCATCCTCTCTCTCCAGGAGCTCTGGAGCTGGGATGTCCCTTCAGAGTTGACCCAAATATTGAAGCAAGAGGCTCTGCTTGAATGCCCTTATGCTGACCTGCCTTAGGGATCTTTCTACTTCACCATGGGCAAGGTAGCTTTCTCCTGCTGAGGGCAATTCTAGAGGAATTTAGCTGACAGCCATCAGCTGCTAACACTCCCAGTCCTGAAGAGGAGATCTGGGTGGTATCATTCGGCATTCTCTCAACCATATTCTATAAATTTCTTGGCTTTTTCTAACTATATTATAAAGTATTAACATCAATCACAATGGACCTAAGAAGTGTCTAGCAAGGAAATAAACATTAAACCCACCTTCAAATAAAATTGGAGATGAAGAAAAATGTTCCATTGCCCACATGATAGGCTCTTGACCCAGAACTTCCTCAATGGGCCAAAAATGTACTCCTAATGACATCATACTGTAATAATATACTATGAGGTTACCAGTCAAATCTTTTCAAAGAAGCTCCAAAGAAATCTTTACTCATGGTGTATTTTAAGCTCAGTTCCCCTTCTCAAGCCCTTTTTCTCAAAAAGAGAGAGAGAGAGGAAATGAGGGAAGGAGGGAGGGACGGGGAAGGAAGAAAAGGAGGGCGGAAGGAAGGCAGAAGGGAAGGGAAGGGAAGGGAAGAAATTTAAATCATTTCATGGACTCTGTCCTAAAACCCAAGATACACAACGGGTTAAGGTCCTTCCTCCACAAATGTACCAAAATTAAAATCATGGGTCATTAAAGAGAATCTTTCTTGCCCTCACTTATCTTCTTTCTTGCTTTCTCCTCAAGGAAAATGCCTAACAAACAGGAGGCTACTAAAGTAAACCATTAGATGAAGATGTGAAATTACCTACAGAAAGCTACCAATTCTGACACAGGAAAGAAAAACATTTTTTCTTCACTCTCCACTAATAAACTGTCTGAATATTCCCTATTAGCCAAGGGATTTATGGCAGCCCACTTTGCTGGCCTATGGATGAACTGTCCGAATGATATTTTCTATGGTTCTCACCATGTTCTTTAAAGTTTCTAATTCTGCTTTTAAAAATAAATGAAATTATTTTCTCCAATTCATACTCCATTATATTCAATACTGGAATTTTAATGAAGCCAAGATCAAAGTGAGGGTACATACTAATACTCTGACTTTCCCTACAAACTTGGGGCACAGAATGACATCTTGAAAATTAAGACATTGAGACACAAAGATGTTAAGAAACTTACTCAAAGCCACGTACCTCTTAAATGTCAGAGCTATAGCTCACCAGACAACTGCCTTCAGTTTAGGGATCTTTCTACTTCACCATGGCAGAAAAACAGCTCTGAGGATGAATTAATGCATTGATACACCTTCATTCAGGGGAAAAAAAATCCACAAGTGAGCACTTCCTATTTAACCCATCACCTGTGCTAGCCCAATGGACAGATGTAGGATCAAAAAATTATAGAATAATCATGTGACTCAGGCCTGGAAACTACTTCACATGAACATGTGGTTTGGTTCTTTGCCTTCATGGAAATAACTTTATAATTATGTCCATTGTATTGGGATAGAAATTAAGTCCCAAAGAGGACCAGTAAGTGCCCAGGACTTAGAGGTATTAATGAAGGAACAACTATAATTCAGGTTTCTTCCACTCCCTCAGGTGAACTAAATCTGCATGTTGAGTCTCCACAACCACTTTGTGGTGCAGGCAACAATCAGACTGTTTTAACATGACTGTGGTAATGTTTTGGGCCCCCCAGGAAAGGACAGTCTCCCAATAGATGGAATGGACATCTTCTACACAAGACAGTTTTAGGAGCATCTGATTCTACTGAGAGAGACTGAATATACAAGTGAACAATGGCCAGACAAGATAGGACAACAGAACTCTTCCCACATCCTGCAGCAATCTGTCCATAGAGCCAAACCACAGCCTCTGCAGTGATCAGCCCAGAAGAGTCAGAACTGGTCACTGACTGCCAACTTCCCCATTTTTTGCCTACCCTCCCCACACAGGGCCAAACAGAGAAAGCCACTATATTGCCCAAACTAATCACATAAGATGCCCACTGTTAGCCCACCTGCAGCTTCCCCATGCCAATAACCTCCAATCAGAACATACCTGGAAGCTTCCCATGTTTTTTCACTAGAAATCTTCCTGCTCTCCAGAGACCTTTGAATCTCTGCCCAACACAAATGAAGGTGGGTGACTCTCTTGCTATCACAAGTATTGTGTAAACAGCTTCTGTTGTCATTAGGTGGTCTTTATTTATTCCCACAGTTTTCCTGGAGACTCCACCAAGACATAGTCTGTCCTGCCCTTGCTTCTGATACCACATGTTAACGAGGTGCAGAACCAGAGAGGCCCCTTGTCACTTGCCACTTGTGGATTTTGAGTTCATGATGACATGGGAAGTCAGTACCAGGTCTAAACTCCACTCTATATTGAGTGTCTCAGCTACTTATGCTCAGTTTGGTACCCAGGTTACATATTGGTTCCCATTTGTCTGGCATCCTTTGTAGAATCAGGTCATTAATTTTCATCCTTTATGTTTTCTTTTGTGCCTCCAATTGTGTTGTGCTGTTGTATTTATCTTGTCATAAAAAGAGAATCAAAAAGTAAAACAGACATAGATCCTAGTACCCTGTTTTCTGAGTCAGCCTGGATGAGTTTGTGGTTCTTACCAGACCAGTAGCTATTCAGACAAACTTTGTTGTGAGTCACCAACAAAACTGGATGAAGTTCTTCTTCTGTCTTGTTTAGATGTTTTTTTTTTTGGTGCTGAGAGCTTGACTTTGGTCTAGGGAGGATGCTGTCTCTGGTTTCCTGCTTACTGGGGGGAGCGCATTGTCAGTGCACCTCCACCAGCTGTGAGGTTGCATCCAGGGGACAGAGTTACAGCTGATTGTTGCTGGCTCCCATGGGGTGGTCTAAGTCAAAAATCTCCCTCCTGGAAAAACTCCTGCTTCTAATAGGTAGTCATTACAATCCTCACTTTTGTGACTTCTTTCCAAATGGCTGTTGGTTCACAACCTCAGGAATTCCCTCAGTGAAATTAGAAATGGCCCCCATACACAAAAGGCAAGGAGAGACCATAAAAGAGGCAGACCACTCCAGATAGGTAGGTGGCAGGTTTAACAGGCAAGGGAACTTACATGCAAGGTTTGTCTTGGATGCCTGCAAGATGAGTAGATCTCCTCACCTGCCCACCAGAATCTGAAAAGTTTATACAGAGGCCTTAGCTGGGCTCAGTAACATACACAGTCCAGATGGTCTCAGCACCTAACTCTCAAGGCTGCGTCCATGAGATATCTCCTAGTGAGGGAAGGGTGGGCAGAACTTATATCCCAAGTAGAGGAGGGGATGAGGAGCCTCTGATTGCCAGGGTACAGCTGACAGGTCAACCAGAGGTCATTTCCTTTTGATGACCCCTTACAACAATGGCATGATGTCATTCACCTCAAATGACTTGGCTCTCCAATGGCCACTCTGAGGAAACATTTGATGTGAGCAATACTGTTCATTAGAGAGGTACCTTAGTAAAGAAAGGCAATAAGCTTTCTCGGGTCCAGAGGGCAATATTTTTTTAATTGGCATGCAGACACCTCCAAACAAAATTCTAATTTGATAACTACTTCACTAAAAAATTATTTGGTCAAAGCTAATGAACAATCTGGCAAACTTACACATTAACAAACTGATTTCCCTAATAAGTCTCTGTCCTCCTTGTTCTCAGTTGTCTCTACTTCCAGCTCTCCCTTTTCCTTGTGATCTCTCTCCTGCACCATGGAGACATCACCCTTCTCTTCCCTTTGTCCAGAACTCCACCTCCTCCCAACAACTATAAGACCTGAAAATACTAGTTACCTCTAAAGATCACTCCTGCCCATGAGCCAGAATGCCAGCAACTATAAAATTTAAACCTTGGACCTGAGCTGAATTAAGAACTATAATTAGGGATTTCTCTAAACCCAGACAATACCAGCAACTATTCTTAGAAAAGTTTAGAATTATTATGTATATGACCTGGGTGCACATAACCCCAGGTTACCTGCGCTGTATCAACTTGTACACAGGTTGGTCAGAACCTCAGATACCAAATCCTGGCTGGCAAAAGCTGACTGGAAGGGTTCTAGAGGATTCCTCTTTCCACAGTAAATGTCAGAGTCAAAAATGGCCCCAAAAGATCAACAGTGGTGAGGCTTAGAACCTCACCCCCCCTGTTTTGAGAGAAATCTTCTGCGTCCGTGGATGTTGTAATGCCCTTGTCTAGCTTGGATTAACACATAGTCTACAGGCACACACCTGATCATCTACAATTGCTCTCTTACAACACTAAACTATGTTTTCTACCTTTATCTTGCATCTACCTACCACTTCAGCATTTTATTAAAAATAAAAATAA